GGGGGGGGGGGGCTCTGTGTAGTCATGTTTAAGAGGCTTCTAGAACACCCAGCGAGAAGTGAAGGGGGCGGCTGGATGGAGGACCAGCAGCTCCAGGGGGGTTCCAGAGTGGGGACACAGGTTCCGGAGTCCGCAGCAGAGAGCTGAGAGCTGGATGTGCTCACCCACTCAATGACCAAAGGCTCAGAAAGGAGAGGAGGGGTAGTCAGAGAGGGACAGGAGATCTGAGAGAGAAGGTCAAGGAGTCTCCAGGATAAGGGCCGACCAGGCAGGAAGACCACCGAGGACCTCACTGGGGCCTCTTGCCATGGAGCTTGAGTGCAAAGCCAGGTCTGAGTGGGTGGGGAGCGAGCAGGGAGTGAAGCCGAGAGATTCTGGAGCAAGCCTGGCTCTGGAGGGAGGAGAGAGCTGGAGGCCGCTGAAAGGGTCTGCCCAGTGCCCCCAGATAGCAGGCCCACTGGTGGGATTTGGAGAGAGCACCGCCTCTCCCCCAGCGCCCTGAGCTCTTTAAGATCAGAAACTCTGTCTGCCTGTCATGCCCTCTCACAGGGTCATGTATTTTAGCAGGCTTTGGGTTGCAAGCAACAAGAAGCCAGACTTAACAAAACGGAGGCCTGGCAGGGGGCAGTGCCAGGGCGGGGCCGGGGCAGCTTCTCAACCGTGTGGTCAGGGACCCAGCCTCTTCCCCACCTTCCGCCCCCACCCCACGTTGGCAATGTGGTGCCAAGATGCTCGGTGCCACTCTGAACATCATGACCTTACCCTAGAGAGGAGGCTTTCCCCTTGGACATCTCTGTTTGCGGCTCATTGGCCAGAACAAGGTCACGCGCTCCCCAGAGACCAATCATTGAAAGGAGAAAGGGAAGAGCGGGGCTGGCTTACACCAATCACGACCCATTCCTGGGCCTAGGGGGTGGGCTTTGCACCTGGACACATCTGCTGGCAAGAAAAAAAGTAAACACTGGCTGTCAGGAGGGCCTTTAAGGGTCTGCCAGTGCGTGGGTGCTGGTGTCCCCATCAGGCTGGGTGCTAGCGTCCCGAGGACAGGAATCTGTCCTCCCATCCATCAGAAATACCTGGAGCATAGACGCTTGTCTCAGACTAGACGCCTCTAGAGGACAGAGGCTGTGTCTTTTCCTGGAGCCATAAAGTATTAATAAACCTTCATCCAGTATTTATTTCCCTGTGATTTCAGGGAAACAGGGCTCCTGTCAGAGTCAACTGTGTCAATGTGATAAAACAGCTGCCTCCTGTTTTAAAAGAAACCTGAAGACCTACAATAAGAAATACCAATTCTACAACAACAAGCAGTGCAAAGGGAATGCCTACCGGTGCTGAGGGTCCTGTACCCTGGACCTTACCTCCGATACTGAGTTTTCCTCTCTAGCCCTCACCCTTCCCTACCCTAGTTGTTCCCCGGCAATGAAGGAAACAGCCCTCTCCCGTCCTACAGACAAGCCAGGAGCCCTTCCATCCCCAGATAGAAGCCTTCTTTCCAGAATGACAAGCCCTGAGGCATGTGTGCCTGGCGCCTTTTCCCCCTCTTCCTAGGGCGCAGGAGATTTCCCCATCCCCACTTTCTCCAGGCCCTGCTTCCTGCTTAGCAGTGGCAGCTACACCCTTCTGAATAAAGCAATTCATTGGCAAACTGTGTGTGAGTGTGAGTGAGTGTGTGTGTGTGAGTGTGTGTGTGTGTGTGAGTGTGAGTGTGTGTGTGAGTGTGTGTGAGTGTGAGTGAGTGTGTGTGTGTGAGTGTGTGTGTGTGAGTGTGTGTGTGTGAGTGTGTGTGTGAGTGTGTGTGTGTGAGTGTGTGTGTGTGAGTGTGTGTGTG